TCTGTTTATTTCATTAACCATTTTGTTAAGTAAATTGTGAGCTTTAGATTTTACTTGATGGGCGAGCAAAGCGAGTCCTGAAAGGCTTTGGAAATCATGAATTAGGAGAGAATTTTATGACTGTAATTGCCTTTCAGGACTCGCTTCGCTCGCCCATCAACTTTCATTTAGTAAACTAACAATCTTCTTCACTCATTTGAGTGTTTTATATTACATAATAAAATTGATGGGCGAGCGAAGCGAGTCCTGAAAGCAAGTGTATTCAAAGTCAATAACTTTCTTCTATTATCATATAAATATTGACAATATTTTGATAAACTTGATGATTACTTTGCCCTTTAGTTATCCGGTAAAAACAAGGAAAGATGAAACCTTTGACTCATGCAAAGGTAACTCGATAAATAAATAAATAAATATTGCTCGCGATAATGTTACTGCTTCAATGTTGGTAAACACCTTGATTTATGGACATCGAACGTCGCGACGTACAAAATACGATACTTTTTCCATACACATAACTCCTTTTTTTTCTTCTTACTCTCGAGCATAACGAAAAAAATATTAATTGGAAATTATTAATTAACATCTCGGGTTACCCGTTCTCGTTTCATTGTAATTACGTGACGATGAAAAAAAATTACTTGTTTTTTTTTTAAATATATTTTCGTTGCTGTCGAAAACAGGAACACGATGGAATGCGACTTCTTCTTCGGGAAAAAGAGGCTGTTGACCTGCGGCCTTCGCGCTTTACATAGTCGGATTGTTAATCCGAAGACAGAGAGGTGTAGATGGAGAAGAAAGAGAAGGAGAAGAAGGTCATGGGTCAGCAGCGTCAGAGCCTACCTTGCTTTCTCGCTTACTTTATTTTTTTTATTGTAGACGGTTGCCTCAGTTTAAAAGAATTCGTCGTTTCCATGGCAATAAATTGTTTTAAATTTAGTGAATTTTCTATATACAAACTTGAGTAGTCTAGTGAAATTGAAAATAGACTGTAGAAACCTTGAAAATCTAAATGATATTTAACTGTGAGGATGAATTCATTGTATATTTATTTAAAAAATGTGTTTTATATAACGTTAAGAAGTCGGTGCTTTTAAAACTAAATACCATAAAACGCGGAATTCCCACGACGTCGAAACGTTATTGAGTCATGCTACGACTACACAAATCCTAAGAATTCTTCACCGTTTTAATTAAAACTAGAGTTGGAGAGTGCAAGAATATCCTTAAAAAAAAAACATTATTTTCTCAACGTTTTATACATTAATCCAAAATGATTTTCAACTCTAAACAAAACAATTTAGAAGACGGTTTTAACAGAAACTGAAGGTGATTTCAATTATGCAAAGCTTATGAATTGAAAATACAAACAATCGGTTCAGCACAGGTGAAAGTAAAGTTGCAACAACTTTGATATTGGAGTCAGCAGAAGAAAACCAATTTGAAAAACGTTCAATATTGTGTAATTACAAACACAGATGGCGCCACCTGCAATTGCATTTGAATCAGTAATTGAAGGCTTGCAAAGAGCTCAATTTTGTTAGTTGTTAAGTGGCGTGGAGAATCGAATACGCGTATTTCGCGTAGCAATTGGAGGAATTATCTAATGCGGCTAGAATTTCCAAAAGCTAATTGAACTACTAATACTGCTGCTGCGGTTGCTAATGACGAGAGATTTCAATTGAAATTCCGTGCTCCCCTTTACAGTTATTCTTATTATCATCATCATCGACGTTCGCATTACAATTTGTTACATAATGCAAGAAGCTGTTGATGAAAGACCGGTCTTTCTTTTTTTCTCTCTCTCTCTCTCTACACTAATAACAGCAGTACGTTTCCTGTCGCCGCGACTTCCGGTAAAGGGAGATTCTCTGCACGTAATTAAACGCGCTGATATTTTGAATCGATCATCATTTCATTTCACGTAATCATCGCTTTATATATTTATACAATCATCACACATTATCGAGTAAAGTAAACAAGCAAACGTTGCGTAACATAAAATTCGCTGATATACACACGTCTGGAGATAAAACTCGGTCGGAAATCGATGGGGAAAAAAGATGGAAACACATAGAACTTTCTTAATTACGGAGAAAGAATCGCAGCAGGAAGTGCAAAATTAAATACGATCGGATCATATTAGTTTCGAGGAAGTTATTAGTTTTTTTTTCCAAGTTTTTATTTGCGGATCAAGAGATGCTACGACAACCAAGTTCTGTCGTTTGTTGTTGCTTTTGTTTTTAGAGAGGAAGACCTAATGAAAGATAAATTGGAATCGCCGGTTTGCGAAAACACGCGACGATTTTCCAGTTAAAATTAATAAACTTCACAGCAATTATTTTTTTTTAAAACTCAATCCATTTGATATTTAATTATATAATTTCTACATTTACATTTATAATCAATGGAAGAGTTTTGAAATATGAAGACTTTTTTTTTCGTTTTTGAAATCATGATTCTGATCATTTTCATATCAATTTAGTTATGTAATTTATTAGTTATAGTTGAATGGCTTTTGAAATCTTGAATTAGTAGAGTACTTTGAGGACTTTACTTGCATCAAAAACATTTAGTAAATTTGCACAATTATTCAATGAAGAACACTTCAGAACTAAATTGAAACTTAAAAGAATCAAAGCTTTTTAGAATTCGTTTCGTCTATTCTTTAAAAATATTCTAATCTTTGTTATATCGATTTTCTTATGTAAATTTTTAGTTGTATAATGAACTTGTTGAAGGCTTTTGGAATCATGAATTAGTAGAGTACTTTGAAGACAAAAAAAAATAGTAAATTTGCACAACTATTCAATGAAGAAAACTTCAGAACTAACTTGAAACTTAAGAGAATCAAAGTTTTTTAGAATTTATTTCGTCTATTCTTTAAAAAACATTCTGATCTTAGTCATATCAATTTTTTTATTTAGTTTTTTAGTTCTATAATGATCTTGAGAAGGCTTTTGTAATCATGAATTAGTAGAGTACTTTAAGGACTTCACTTGCATCAAAAACATTTAGTAAATTTGAAGAACACTTCAGAACTAAATTGAAACATAAGAGATTCAAAGCTTTTTAGAATTCGTTTCGTGTATTCTTCGAAAATATTCTGATCTTTGTCATATCGATTTTCTTATATAAATTTTTAGTTATATAATGAACTTGATGGGCGAGAGAAGCGAGTCCTGAAAAGAAAACTTTGTATTTAGCAGTGAGTTCTGAAAACTTTTGTTGTCTTTCAGGACTCGCTGCGCTCGCCCATCATAAACGTATTGTCAATTTCTAAACTAATTTAGTGTTGTGTCTATATGTACACAAATAAAAGTCCTGAAACGAGTCCTGAAAGGCTTTCGAAATCTTGAATTAGGAGTAAGTTCTGAAAACTTTAGTTGTCTTTCAGGACTCGCTGCGCTCGCCCATCATAAACGTTTAGTCAATTTCTAAACTAATTTAGTGTTGTGTCTATGTGTGCACAAATAAAAGTCCTGAAACGAGTCCTGAAAGGCTTTTGAAATCATGAATTAGGAGTGAGTTCTGAAAACTTTTGTTGTCTTTCAGGGCTCGCTACGCTCGCCCATCATAAACGTTTAGTCAATTTCTAAACTAATTTAGTGTTGTGTCTATGTGTGCACAAATAAAAGTCCTGAAAGGTTTTTGAAATCATGAATTACCAGTGAGTTCTGAAAACTTTTGTTGTCTTTCGGGACTCGCTACGCTCGCACATCATAAACGTTTAGTCAATTTCTAAACAAATTTAGTGCTGCGTCTATATGTACACAAATAAAAGTCCTGAAACGAGTCCTGAAAGGCTTTCGAAATCATGAATTAGCAGTGAGTTCTGAAAACTTTTGTTGTCTTTCAGGACTCGCTACGCTCGCCCATCATAAACGTTCAGTCAATTTCTAAACTAATTTAGTGCTGTGTCTATATGTACACAAATAAAAGTCCTAAATCGAGTCCTGAAAAGTTCAATATTCCAAGAAAATTTTAAGAATTTTCCTAGTTTCCTTAACTTATTTGTATAATAAAAACAGTTTTCAAACTACTCAAATTCCCAATGTTTAATTTAATGTAAGTTAATTTCAATTATACGCACATAGCGTACAAATGTGTACAGATACTAAAAAATAATAATATTTATTCACTTAAAACGACGATCACCGAACTGCGCGACCTTCAACGCCACAAATTATCAAAAAAAAAAAACATAAATCGAGATATCGTGCACTCACCCAACAATTTTCATGTAATCAATGAAAACGATTCTGCTATAAAAAAAAAGTGGATTAGTGGGGCGTTTCCATATGATTTACCATTCCCAAAAAATCAACGTTGGTTGATTAAACTTTGAAATCTAGTTAAAAAAAAATAAAATTAAATATAATTACGGAACGTAAAAATCAACGACGCTTGAATAATTAATCAAGGCTACACGATAATTAGTTTTGTACATTGCATTTGTTAATTGTTTTATTTTCAAATTGATTCTTATTAGCAACAAAGCCAACTTTGTTAATATTGAAATTATATTCAAGTTTTATAGATTCCAATTGGATTTTTTGATAAAAAAAAATATGAATGAAAAGTTTGTAAATCTCTAAGTATTTAAATTTAGATTAGAGCTTGAGTTCTAACTGTAAATCAAGTCTTCTCACGTAATTGTAGGTTTTTAAAAGAAGAATTTACTTTTAGTAGATTGTGAAAGTCCGTGTATTGCATGCTAATCATCAACACACGTTAACTAACGGTCGGAGTCTTTTCGGCGTGTGAACGCGACAGGAAACCGGAAAGTCGGCAACCTCTGGCGCACCGGAGCGTTATCAATATAATACACGTAAGGGGATGAATGGAGATGAGGCCATCCCTTAAACGTCATCATCAATTGTTTCGTGCACGTCTCTGCGTGTAGGTAGCGATCGAAGATCACCGCATTTACCGCCAATTGGAAACATCTTACCAAAGTTGCATGTGTGTAAATATGTTACATACACGCGTATATTTACCTGGTACGCCTCGACCATAATCTGCAACAGGTTTTCCACCGATTTTTCACAGGGCTGCTGCCAACATTACCAACTCGTTATATCCAAAAAAAAATGCACACAAACACAGACACTTTTATTTTCTTTTCTTTTTTTTAACGAATTTCCCTGTAGAACAGCAACATTTTCTCCGCACCTATTTTTTTTTTCCACCACAACACAACAAATAATAAAAGGGACGCACACACACACACACTACACACTTGCACACACACACGCTCCGCAAAACGGACGCAACCAACCACTTGTGGCTTTTGTTTGGGGGAGCCACCTTGGATATGGTTGCGTCACGTGTGCAACGAACGTCGACGGAAGCGCACGAACGAACGAAATTCCATTGAAATCGTGATCGATTACCAACTGAAATTTAGTTGCTAAACGTACATTACCAACACACTTAAACGTCACATTTAAAACGGACAAATTTAATTGAAAAATCGCTTATTTTTCTATTAAATCAATAGAATTGAGCGTAATTAAAACGAATGAATCGTAATTAAGTACTTACACGTTAATTACGTTTACGAACACATCCGGAAAAGCACGAACAATTATTACACCAACAACACTTTAGTTGGAAAACCACACTTTTCAATTTACTGATTTTATTCGATAAAAAAAGCTTAAAAAATAGAATAATTAATTTTAATTAATATCATTTTCATATAAAATCTTAATTAATACTGTGTCAAAATCCCGACTATATCGAAATCCCAACTATATCGTAATCCCGACAGTGTCTTATTATTACAAATTTCTAAAATAACATTTTTATGGTAAATAAACAAAAAAAAAGAGTTGAAATACGTTAAGATACGGTTGCTATTTACTTTAAAATAATTGAAGTAATGACATTTTTAGTATCTGTCAGAAGAGACAAACTTGACAAAAACAAATATTGATTGAAATCCCGACGTTCGAAATCCCGACTATATCAAAATCTCGACAACCATAATCCCGACTGCATCAGAATCTCGACAACCATAATCCCGACAATCATAATCCCGTCTATATCAAAATCCCAACTGTATCCAAATCCCGACTATATCGAAAATTTCTACATTAACCTTTTTAAATTATTTGTAGACGAATTTCTAAAATAACATTTTTATGGTAACTAAACAAAAAAAAGAGTTGAAATACGTTAAGATACGGTTGCTATTTACTTTAAAATAATTGAAGTAATGACATTTTTAGTATCTGTCAGAAGAGACAAACTTGACAAAAACAAATATTGATTGAAATCCCGACGTTCGAAATCCCGACTATATCAAAATCTCGACAACCATAATCCCGACTGCATCAGAATCTCGACAACCATAATCCCATCACCGACAACCATAATCCCGTCTATATCAAAATCCCAACTGTATCCAAATCCCGACTATATCGAAAATTTCTACATTAACCTTTTTAAATTATTTGTAGACGAATTTCTAAAATAACATTTTTATGGTAACTAAACAAAAAAAAAGTTGAAATACGTTAAGATTCGGTTGCTATTTACTTTAAAATAATTGAAGTAATGACATTTTTAGTATCTGTCAGAAGAGACAAACTTAACAAAAACAAATATTGATTGAAATCCCGACGTTCGAAATCCCGACTATATCAAAATCTCGACAACCATAATCCCGACTGTATCTCGACAACCATACATGACATAATCGAGATTTCAAACGTAGGGACTTTAATACAGTCGGAATTTTGATACAGTCGGGATTATGATAGTCGGGATTTGTTAATATTCGGGATTTCAAGCTTCGGGACTTTAATACAGTCGGGATTTCGAAAGACGGGATTTCGGTTGTCGGGCTTGCGATATAGACCTTAATTAATATATTATACCAATTAACATTCCAATTTAAGATTGTAAATTTGGTTAACGCATGTTGCAGGCAACTCAACTTACACAAAAATGAACTTTTGATCTACATTTGTAATGCAACAAAAAAAAAAATTTAAATTGAAGTAATTCATTACAAAATCGAATGGAATAAACTTGAATTTAAATTACATCAGAATGTGTAAACTGTTAATTTGAAAGCTTGATTTTATTGTGGAAATAATTAATTGAATAAATTTTAAATTGGAAATTTAACGTGTAATTGTTAAACTTAATTGAAACGTTATTATTGTTATTATAGTAATTTAGATGGATCTTCAAAGGGGGCGCTGTTTCGGAAGTGTTAATATATAGAAGCGTCCAATCTGCACTTCGATTACTCGAAGCATTATACTGTATGATGGAACCAATCCTGATGCTTCACCGTTCAAACACATTGCGAACGCAATCATCGCACAAAATTCCTTATTAAGTGCTAAATACGATTATGTGCATTGATAGGAGTTAGTTAACAAATAACAACATCTATTGTTTACATTCATTTGTTAGTGTTCTTTTGTTTTAGACTGACAGTAGTATTGTCATCGATTTTGTTTATTAACAACAATAGTATTATCATTTGTTTATTGTTTAATCACATGATTTGTTATCAACTTCAATTGTTTTTCAACTTCAATACCAACAATGATTTCATTGATTTTTCATCTGTTTGTTTAATGTAAAATGTAAGAAATCGGTGGCAATCGCAAGACCGACAACCGAAAGACCGTCTATTGAAATCCCGACTGTATTGAAATCTCGACTGTATTAAAGTCCGACGCTTGAAATCCCGACTATATCAAAATCCCGACTATATCGAAATACCGACTCTATTAAAGTCCCGATGCTTGAAATCCCGACTATGTCAAAATCCCGACTACCATAATCCCGACCATATCAAAATCCCGAATGTATTAAATACCAACGCTTGAAATCCCGACTATGTCAAAATACCAACTACCATAATCCCGACTATATCAAAATCCCAACTGTATTAAAGTCCGACGCTTGAAATCCCGACTATGTCAAAATCCCGACTATGTCAAAATCC